ATGACTTCAAGACTGCTTTAGAGCTACTGATTGCTCTATCCTCCTGAAATCATCCTATTACTTCAAGACTGCTTTAGAGCTATTCATTGCTCTATCCTCATGAGGTCATATTACTACTTCAAGACTGCTTTAGAGCTATTCATTGCTCTATCCTCCTGAAGCCATCTAATTATTTCAAGACTGCTTTAGAGTTATCCATTGCTCTATCCTCCTGAAATTACATTATTATTTCAAGACTGCTTTAGAGCTATCCATTGCTCTATCCTCCTGAAATCATTACTTCAAGACTGCTTTAGAGCTATTGATTGCTCTATCCTCCTGAAGACATATCACATTATTATTTCAAGACTGCTTTAGAGCTGTTGATTGCTCTATCCTACTGAAGCCATTCTATTACTTCAAGACTGCTTTAGAGTTATTGATTGCTCTATCCTCCTGAAGCCATTATTACTTCAAGACTGCTTTAGAGCTATTGATTGCTCTATCCTCCTGAGGTCAGATTTATCACTTCAAGACTGCTTTAGGGTTATCATTATTGATTGCTCTATCCTCATGAAGACATGCTGTTACATCAGTATTACTCCAGACTCCTGACAGTTCTCATTATACTACTGAAGAACTTTCCCCTAGTGGCATCTTTAAGCCCACTCAATCATGTTCAACCAACCATCAATATCACTCCATGCACTGGTGAGTGCAAATTTTTGGGCTTTTGTGTTTAATCCCCTTCAACCTTCCAGGTTACGACTGGCAAATATACCAATCTAACCCCTCAGGTTTCAGAAAATTGAACAGGGGCAGCTGTTGCACCCCAAAATTTGCCCTCACAATACAAGACTTTGTGTTCCAAGAAGGTTCACAAGGTTCACAAAATTCACAATTGGTCAGAAGAGTTGACAATTCCCTCAGACAATGCACCTCCTAAGCAGTGCATCCAAAACTAGGGTTTTGACTTTAATCAGGCTAAATGGACTTCCAAGACTTCAAGTGAGCTTCATAACATCTTATATGTGTATAAGAACCCCCATGTCAAGTTTCAAGACTTTTCTCAAAAGTTTGCTCAGTCAGATGATCAGATAAGTCAAAAGCAGTCAATGCAGTTAAAAGGTCAAACTGAGGTCAACTGTGATCAAACCAAAGTCAAACTTCATGATTTTTTTTTTTGCCAACATCAAAGAGAGGTTGGGTGAGAAATATTATCATAATAACTGTAATACCCCAAATTTTGCCCTAAGATTTGTCGTCGCATTTCATTGCATTTAATCAATTACTAACAAATTTGTGTAGTCGTTTGACTTTTTGCAGGTAAATATCATATGGCATGCATTTTTTTTCTAAAAAGTAAAAATGGCACAATTGGCAGGAGGACATGTGTAAGGAGTTATGAGTGTGAGAGGTTGAGAGTTCGAATCTCACCTTTGTCATTTTTTTTGTTTTTTATTATTTTTACTCTAAATTTTTCTATCTTTCATTAAAAAAATAACAAAAATAGTTTTTTATTATTATTTAATTATTATTTTCGTATTTTAATTAAATCATTTTTTAAAATATTATTTTTTTCACTTTTTTCTAAATTATTCATAAAAATATCCAAAAAATCATAAAATAAAAAATATTGAAAAAAATTTTGTTCTTTTTATAATATTTTTTATTTTAGGAATCAATAGGATTATTAGTTTTTATTTTAAGTTTATTTTAATTATTTTAAATTATTTAAATTTTATTTTTTCTTAACTAATTATTTAGTTTGGGCTTTAAAATGGGCTTTAGGGACATTATTGACAATTTGGTGTTAACCCTAATTTGTTCCCTATATATACATGTGTTGCCTTGTTGGAAAAAAAGGGGAGAATGAAAAAAACCTAAGAGGAGTGAGTGTTGTTTGCCGTTATTTAGCTTTCTTCTTCATCCATTACTATTGTTTCTTTTTCTTCATCGTTTACCGTTATTTCTTTTCCTTCATCTATTACTGTTGTTTCTTTTTCTTCATCTTTTACCGTTATTTCTTTTTCTTCATCTATTACCGTTATTTCTTTTTCTTTATCTATTACTGTTACGTTTATATATATATAATTTTTAAATTGTTAGAGTTTATATATATAAGATTTTTGATCGAATTATGTCGATACGATGTTTGCACATTTGTGTGCATGACGCGTGACATTTGTGTTAGTTCGATCTGGTTGCGATGATCGCATTTTTGTGTGAGCAATAATACTATTTTTTGCTTAATTTCTTTTTCTTTGCGATAAATTTTGTTTCGTCCGATTTAGATCTGGTTGCGATGAGCGCATTTCTGCGTTAGCAACATTGTTGGGTTATTTGGCACATTTAAAATTCATTATTGCTTTATTATTATTATTATTATTATTATTATTATTATTATTATTATTATTATCATTATTTATTATTATTATCATTATTATCATTATTATTACCATTATTATTATTATTGTTATCATTAATTTATTAAAATTTGTTATAATATAAAAATCTGTTTTTTAAAATAAATAACATTAACATCTTTTCCAAATTAATATGAAAACCTATTATTTTTAAGAAAAACTTTTTTTTAGATAAATTTAAAATAATAACTAAAATCTTTTTTTTAAAATAATAACTAGAACCGTTATTTATTTTATTTTATTATTGTTCAATTCAAATTTCATTATCATATTGTATCTGCTCCTCTCATGTAACCTCGCAAACTTAACAATCGCTCTTTAAATTCTGCCTTTAAATTTCTGCTTGCATGGTTTAAATTATGACATTATCTCTCTGTTTGCATGATTCAATTATCTCACGCGTTTACTATTATTTCTGTCACATTGCACACATCCGAAGGTTAGGTCTAACTGTTTGGCCGCCGCGCCAATAGTCCGTAAAACTTCACACATTCAATTTCAAATCCTCAAAACTACAAACTACAAACCCTAATTTTCACAAATGCCTCGCCGCAGGCAAAATTACTATTTTACCCTTAGCATTAGGTCAAAGAGCCGCCGCGCTCATTTTAGGGTTTCCCGCCGTGGAATCCCTAATTTAACCCTAATTACAACTTAACATTTCAACGTAGAGATTTGGAGTTTCTACACTCCACGTAAGCGTGTCCTTAAGATGCGTTTATTCCCCTTGAGACCTTGACCACAGTCAAGAAGTTTCTAACCTCCCTATTGAGGGGAACTACGATTACTCTGATTCCACTCCCGTAAGGATACGTAGGCACAAGATGCGATGTCTTGCCGAGTAAACTTAGAATTAACCCCCTTTATTATTTATTATTGCTTATTTATATTTTATTTATCTTTGCTATTTAATTATTTTGCTTATTATTTTGTAATTGTTTCTTGGATGTAAAGTTGTTTAATTATTTAATTATTATTATGGTTAGTAATTAGGGAGTGTAACAACATGTATGTAATATTAAAATAAATTTAGATCACTTTTAAATAAAGATAATTAAAATAAACACGTCACACACGTAAGCCGATTTTAATCGCCGTCTCACTTCCTAAGGATATCCCTCAAGTTGCCTACGAATAATGGTTAAGTGGGGTGTATAAAGCAAGTCCCTCAAATAAAAAAATCATCAAAGTCCCTTATGGTTGCCTTTACGAATCAAGTCCCTTTCGAAAAATGATGATGGTCCCTTATATATGCTTATTACATCCCACAATGGCCTTCAAAGTCAAATTGTCCCTCACATACCCCTTAACATCCAAAGTAAGGACTACCTACTCCATTATAGTAGGGATAGTCTTACTAAAGGAAAGAATGAAGAATAAGAAAGACCTTTAAACATTAGGGTAGGTTACTCCTAGGTGCTTGCTCACTTCAAAACTGTTTCGCACTTAAACAAATTTTCAACAAGTTTTCAAACAAGTTCTTAACACATCCTTACATGGATTATTTACTAACTATTCTGGAAATTTTCTATTCACACACTACAATTTCAAAACAATTCAAAAGTGAGCTTAAGTACCTAAGAGCCCATGGATAACCATGGATGAAAAGGATGCTAATACCTTCCCTTTTCATAACCTACCCCCCGGACCCAAAATATTCTCTAAGGTCTTTCCTGTTCTTTTATAACCTTTCCTTATGGATAAAATAAAAGTCGGTGGCGACTCTTGCTATCCGCAACATTGTTTAAAGTCAGTTCACCGGGTTACAGATTGTACAGCTTATCATCAAGCCGCAGCCACGTCTTGATGCTCGTCCTGTGGAAAAAAGTAATGACCCAACTCGTAACGCTTTGTATGGTGCTCTCTCGCATAAACGACCCAAAGGATCATCGGCAACATTATGCCACCAGCAACTGTAACTATCCCAATGTAAATTCATCAACTGTTCTTATGCAGGCATTGACAGCAAATTCAATTTGGGCAGCCATGCTTGGGGTCATTCAACCAGGCATTATGAAAATTCCTGCAGGAAAAACCTCCCGTATCTATTTCCTCCAAACCTGAGTAACATTGTTAAGTGCAACTTTGTCGGGAGTACATTGCCAAACAGTGGAATCGGTGTTGTAAGAATTGCACATAACAAGTATTATGGGTCCCGATTGATTGTTATTCGCAACTCCGGCTTGAGGTGAGAAGTCTCGATTTGTGACTGTCATGTTGTCATTTTCATTCCATTAAAACTTTACCACTGACATATCACTTCTCTCGTTGTTGTGGGTGTAGCAGGTTGCGGTTGTTATTGTTGATGCAGCCTTGTATGTATGGAAGGACCAAAAACAGATTTGACTCCACCTCAGGATTAATGCATTTACAAGCTAAAAATCTTTGGGTCACTCACAGCAATGACAGATACAGGAATCGATCCGCAATGATTGCCTTTCCTTCTCAAGGTAGCTCGAGTGTGACCACCGAGTGGATGATCAGATGTAGGAAATTCTTCTGAAAACAGATAGGCGATTCGAGCAACTAAGCTTTCATGTGCTTCCCGAGGAGTAAGATCAGTGGTCTCTGGAATGATACTAAGCCTCTCTAAAGCTATCTCTGCTGCAGATTGTTCTGCATCCTCCTTGTTCCTGACACAACCCTAAGTTCTGGGAGCTGCAATGTGCAACGGTAAAGGCAAGGCCCCGTCTGTGGAATACATAACCCCGGACATTCAGTTTGAGAAACCTCCTTCACCGCCTCTACCGCGTAGCAAGCTGTTTTGCCAAACTTTTGGTGTGTTATAGCCTTCGGTGTAAGGTTTGATTTTTTTAGTGCAACAGAATGTTGTTCTTTCATTTCCATGAGAAAGCTTAGAACATTTGTGATTACGAAAAGTGTCTGCGTTTCCGTAATCGAATTATACGGCTGGCGTGTTATCTTGCAAATTGCACGTTGACAGTTGCGAATTTGTGTGCAACAATCCCAAGGCTGACAAGCTCCAGTTAAGGTACGTTTGCGAGCTGTCTATTGTTCACGCTTTCACATACAATGTTCTATCATTTCTATGACGTATTCATCGTAACCGTCACACTAAGATGAGCTTATGTTTTGAACCGGACTCCCATATTGTTTTGAATCCATTGCTGTTATTTTCAGGTTGTGGTGCAATCATTAGTGAATGTGCTGCTGGTCGAAGGTCGGGGCTGTTGCCAGAGACTGCAGCTGAGATATTTGAATACGTGGATAAAGCTCCATGAAGGTTTTGACGCAATGACAGCTGGTAATTTCCCCGGAATCTCCATTGGTTATCAATTATCGTGTTGTTGTCGTTAAAGCTTTGCAAAGGTCTTGGACATTTTGAGCAATTCTTTTTCATTCCGAGCTGCCGATAACGAACTTTAACCTTGTTCACCTGTAGATGCACTTCTCTTCTGTTCACGGAAAGCCGGCAACGAACCAAATATATATGCAGCCCCCAAGTTATGATTTAGTCGTCCTTGTTCCTTGGCAGATTCAAATCCTAACACATTAGCTATCGTCGGCATTTATTTGAGCTCGCTAGTCTCTTGTATATGCAGTTTTTGACTCATTTATGGCATTATGGTCTGTGTGCGTTGTTTTGACATCCTGATGACCTTAATATTTTAACCTTTTGATTAAAAACCATGCCATAAACCTTCTTTATGTTGGTTTGAGATAGGTCACTTGAACAGGGAAGAAGAAACGAGAATGATGGTGTTGCTGTTGTATATCATGGTTTTTGGGCACAAACTTCTTATAAATTTTTTTTACCAACAACTTGACTCAATATGTGCCAAATAACTAGCACAATTCTAGTACCAGACGCACTGTTTATGGCTTTATTGAACGGTATATGCTTTTGAAAACAAAACTCTCATCTTTGTAGGAGATCTTGAAACTAAATTGAATACCCTCATAATTTATGTCAAAAAAATCCGTGTTATGGCTCGAAGCAACCCCCACGTGACTTAAGAATTTTGAGAAAGGGGCAAAAAATAGAATCATAATCTCAGACCATTTTGGGACTAATTGTACATCTTAAATAATTTTATTGCAACTTGAAACCAATAGGTTACATTCATGCTTTCCAACACCTCACCTTGAAAATGACCCTAGCTTGAGACTTTCAAACAAATCCGGCCATGCACCGAGGATAAATGAACAATGCTCTTAAAACATGAATGATTATAACCAGAGCCCATTTCTAAATATAATCGAGAATAAACTTAGAGCAAATTCAACCAAGGTCTAGCTTATGTAACCGCATGACTCTATGCCAACTTGAAAACATGTCTCAAAATTGATAAAACTTGGAGTGAGCTTGAAACAGGGTTTAAAACACTTGAAACTGAATAATCAAGTCTTGACTAATTCCATTATGACTCGAAATTTGCAAGTTAAATCTAAGTTTGTCACAAACTGATTTAGAAACCCAACACAGTCGGACGCTTGTGTTCAATTCGAACAATGCTTGAGGTTAAATCGACCGTGTCCAGATGCAAGTATTTTTGAACAACTTGGATCAGATGCATATCGTAACAAGTAACTTGTACAAGCAACTTTTAGTGAGGCTTACACAACGTTTAAAGGGCAGTTTGAAATCAAGTTGAGATAGGGTTTAAATTTCTTGAAAACCAACAGTCATGTTGCGAGGTAGTTCCAAATGTATTTGACGTCACTATCCATATATGTCTGATCGTGAGAACGAGGACACATATGAGTTTGGGTATAAGGGGTTGGAGGCGCGCTCCTCCCACAAGGATTCAACATAAAGTGTTAGGGATTATAACCACAATGTGTACACCTGGTCTTTATAAACGAAAATTTAGAGAATCATGGCCAAAAGTAGTAAAGAAGTAAGATGTCCTTTAAATACCGAAGTAGGACAAATTTGGGGTATGACACATACTGAATGTCATGACATCGGGTAGCTGACAGCAATGACGCATGTTGGTTTTCTGTTATAATGCATGAGTAAGCTCAGGCTAAATTTCAGGAAACCTGGTAGGGTTCCTTAGTTATCTCAGGCGAGATTCTAGGCAGTGCAGAGCATAACATGGAACGTCTATGACCTATTTGAAAGCGCCTTGAATTATGGAAAGTGGTTTAACTTGGTTAAACCTAATGTTTGTTACTTTTGACCAGCCCAAGCCCAATCTGCATCACTATTTAAGGAGGCGCAGAAGCAAGGGAAATAAAGTACTCACAACAAGAAAAACTTGAGTGTAAAATTAGGGTTTTGAAAGTCGTTTGTGTGTGACCTTGTAAGTCACCCTTTGTATCTTTTGATAGATCGTGGTAGACATATTTGTGTTAGTTGTGTGAGTCATTCACTCATTATTTAATGTGTGAATTGGACTAGGTTGGTATTTGTAAATTATTAATTGTTTACTCAAAGCTTTTAAGCACGAGTGTATTGTTCTTGATTGAAGCTTGAAAAAAAAATCAAGTATTGTGACTTTGAAGAGTGTCTTCTAGAGTCTATTTTTTTGTATTGAATTATTTGTCATTATTGTGATTGAGGGGGAGTGAGAGGGGTCTCTTGTCTAGTGGGTTCTAGGCAGAAATTGCATTGGGTAGAGATTAAGTGAGGGGTTGTAAACGGGGGAGTTTAGCTCTAAATTAATTCTGCTAATAGTGGATTTCCTTCCTGGCTTGGTAGCCCTCAGATGTAGGTGATGTTGCACTGAACTGGGTTAACAACTCATTGTATTATTTATCTTTCAGCATTTATAAATCTGCACATTTTAAATGGTTAGATAAATAGTTCTGTCAGTCTGCAGATGTTACAACAGAGGTCATGACATTGGTCATGACATTGGTAATATTAAAAGGGATTTAAAATGGTCATGTTATGTCCTTGTTCTGTTTAAGCAGAGATCAATGTTCTTGGGACATCTGAGATTTGTATACCAGAATTTCAATTGGTATCAGAGCAGGCATCCTGTCTATTCTGGATGAGATCTTAGGACATACTTTCTGGTGTTTTGAGCAAGGAGAAGTTGTAGCTGGCTTGAGGATCTTGCTAAATGTTTGGGCTACTGATGGATTCTGTGTATCTGCTATTGTGCTATCTGATATAGGAGCTTGTGTAATCTATTGAGTATTTCTTCCAAAGGAGGAGTGGCTATTTCTGTTGTATGATGTCCTAACATCTTGTTTAGGGCATGTTGAAGATATTCCTTTTGGTGGTTCCGCTGCATAATTTTCTAATGGAAGAACTCTATAGGTCATGTTATTCTTGAAGATATCAACGTTTCTGAAAGCTCTAGTCATTCCATATCAGGAGCAATGGAGTGAAGAGAGTTGGTTGTTGTTATATGGTATTGTTGACCTCGTGATTGGGAGTTTTGGTTTTATCATGTTCCTTTAAAGCAAGAGGAAGTCATAGGCAGGTTGAGTCAAGGGTGACAACCTTGATGTTTCAACATTAGATATACTTATACTAAAGAATACTTTTGGTATTTGTGAAGTGTAAATATCAAATGGTTTTCTCAACAAGTTGTGTGGATTTAAAATCAATTGCTATTTGTGGACTACACACGTATATAATTGATTATCCATAAAGTTCAGAGAAGGATGTATTATAAGGATTTAAGATTCATTGCTATTTGAGATATTCTCAAATATTTAATGGATTATCCTTAGTTGATGATCAAGTTGTCTCATCAGTTGGTGCATAAGTGTCAGGCCCCTGATTTATTTGGTCTACTTCAAGGTTCTGATATTCAACCAGATGTTGAGACATTTCATCAGCAGAGATTGTGCAAAATTCTGTTGACTCAAGGAGTGAATCACTAGATCAAAGGAGATATAGCTGGATCTGTCTTTATTCTAGTAAGGTTCCTGATTGCAGTGCTGATGGAAGTGAAGATAATAAAAAAATCTGTTTATTTCCAATCTAGGAGTACTGAAGTGCAGCAGAGATGAAGCATCTGATCTTTTAACTAGAAAGTTTCCTGACAAGAAACTTGTCTAGAAGATGGTGTTGGTGATAACACTGCTTGGGTCAGTGTATTTCTGATCTAAGTGCAAAGGAGCATGTGACCTTGCTCATCTTTGAGGTCAAGGATAAGTGGCAGTTATCTCTGAAGAAATCTCTACTTAAGGAAAGCGGAAGCCCTTTTGTAAAGATTTTTGTGTGATCCTTCTTTTCTGAAGAATCAAGCCTGGGCACGTTTGGTTTCTCTAAAGAGGAGTCTTTTGAAGCAAATGCAGCATACAGGTTGTCTACTCAAACTTGATAGCATCAATCAAGTCTTTGCACTCTTGTTCTGATATAGTGATGAGGTCCTTCTAAGTGGCAGAATAAAGGTCTGAAGTCACCAGCGGATGTCTCATCAGAGGTTCTGACATCAAGCTGGTCTACAGAGTCTTAGTTGAAGTAATGGTACATCATTTGAAGATAGGTTGATATGATCTATCTCATGAAGGTTGTGGGAGCTACGAGAAGGAGTAGATGTTGCAGGTCCAAAACTTGGTGTATCTAAGATTCCTTGCTGTGGAGCAAGTGGGGTATGTAACTTGAAGATCAAGTTTTCTTGGTGGATCAAAAGATCTTCTAGAGCTCTGAAAGATGCTGAGTAACCATACAGTGGCATTTGGTTATTTAAGTAGTGTGCTTGGAGAAAATTACTATTGTGCAGAAGGGTAGTTGGTTGAATACCAAAGGAGGATCTGGTTCTGTTCATATATTGGTGCTTGTGGTAGAAACCCTGAGTTGCGTATGGAAGATTACCTCTTTTGGAGATGTATTTGATCAAGCTGGTGGAGCTGTGTTCTCTAAAGATCTTTAGTTGGATTACTAGGCAGTTGTAATTCCAGTTGTGGGCATATAAAGA